GGACAGGTCCCGAACGGACTTAAGCCAGTCATTTTTTGAGACTGGTCTGAGATCGATCCTTTTGTGCATCTCTAAGGCTATGAGGCGTGGGGGTGCTAAGGGTTGCTAGGGTTGTCAAAACTGTACCACGGAAAACCAACCAACATTAGGGATGAGCGTGGGACGGAACCGGTACCGACCCGTACCGTTCCCGATTTCCCGAAAACCGAATTTGGTCGAAAGTCAATCCCGAGTACCGAACCGATTTAATATCACCGGTACCGGTATCGGAAATGATATCGATTTTCGGTACTACTACCGGTACCGGCGGTACCGATTCCCAAATTTCATGTATTTGGAGTACCAAGTACCGTCCCATATTTTTAAATTCGGTACGGTTCGGTACCGGTATCGGTACGGGATCGGGATTTGGGACAAACTGCTCATCCCTAACCAACATGTTACCAACCGAACCAAGAAAGTTGATGGTCCACATGTTTGGTTGGTAGAACCGTACCAATTAAACAATCTTGGTACGGTAATGGTACAAAAGTTTGAATACCATGGTAATACTGTACCAACAAATTCATTATATATATATATATATATATATATATATATATATATATAAACGAAATTGTATATTTCAACTGTCAATTGTGATTAGAGTTTACAATTTTAAGAATATCATATAAGTCATTTGGCCCCATTAGTCAATAGTTATTACCACGTTAAAGCACAAAATTAGAACTTTACTTTGGCTTTACTTCAATAGAATTCTTCTATAGATTAAAAGAACTACACAACTAACTTATTTACTAAACGTCAAAATTACCCTATGCCGTTTATTTTTAAATCTTACAATAATTTGTTAAGAAGTTGGTATATATTATTACCAATTTGTACAAACCAAACTTGTTCGTAGCCAAACATATTAGTACCAAGTATACTTGGTACGATATTGATAGCAAATTTATACCAACTATAGTTGGTACAGTACACGATTTAGGGAAAAAATAATCGGTACCGTACCAATTCCACCCTACGAAATTGTATATTTCAATTGTCAATTGTTATTAGTGTTTATAGTTTTAAGAATATTATATAAATCATTTGACCGCATTAGTCAATAGTTATTATCACGCTAAAACTCAAAAATTAAAACGTTACTTTGGCTTTACTTCAATAGAATTCTTTTGTAAATTAAGAGAACTACAAAACTCACTTATTTACTAAACGTCAAAATTACCATATTCGTTTATTTTCAAATATTACAATAATTTTTTTTAAGAAGTTGGTATATACCATTACCAATTTGTACCTGTTAAAAAATTTGGGATAATAAAGGCACTTGGATATTCTGAGAATTGTGATTTCACTTTCAAATCAAAGTATTTTGGTGGTACTCCCTAATCTTTGATTAAATAAGACTCATAAGAGATTCAGAACAGAGAATGAGAAATATCAATTTCATGAGTACCAAAAAACTAACCAAAATTCGTTTAAATACCTCATTTGTTAGAAAACTGTCACAAAACAGTTTCATTAAACTGTCATAAAACAGTTTTTTCAGCAGTAAAAAACTGTCATAAAATGGATGTGTACATTGTCACATAGAGTTTTTTTTAGTTTTTTTTAAAAGCCAAATAAGCTTAGGATGTGTAGCTTGTAAAAGTTGGAGAGTGATAATGTGTCATTTTAATAGGTTTTATTTTGAAAAAAAACAAACAAACAAAATAGAAATAGTCAATTACAACACATCTTCCAACTTTGTCTCTCCTCTCTCCTCTCATTACAGCCATGACAAGTCTGCTTGGCGAGGCTACTCAATGCAAGCTAGGGGCGGTGTGTGGCGCATGCTAGCGAGCCTGACGACCCTTTTGGCGACTCCACTCCCCATAAGGGTGCTACCGTTCCCTCTAACCTAAATAAACCAATGAAATGTTTGGTCATGCTCAAATGCATTGATATGTTCAATCTCAATGATACTTGGTGAGAGTAGTCGGTGATTCAATCTTGATTGAGAAACAAATTCTAAGTATTAGGAGTAATTCAATTTAGATAGAGAAGCAAGTTACGAGTATTAGAAGGGTGATTTGATCCATGCTTTGTACTCGAATTAAGAAATTATGAGACAAAGTAAAACACAATAAACTTTTCTATTTCCATACAAAATGGTTTAGTGTTTAAAAGGCCTCATATGATTGTATGCACGTAACACGTGGATAAGGGCGTTGTGGACTTTTGAAAGTCAAAGTACATATCATCTATTTAACCGGTGACCACTTCATTCTTTGCACAAAAAGTTTAAATGACAGATTTTTTGATTTTAGTGGTCCATAATAAGAACCATCTAAAACCAAATATAAAAGTTTGTTGGGATTAATGATATTAACCAAAACATTTTTTGTTGGGATTTTAGTGGTGCATATGTTAACCTTTTCTATGGTATTTGATATGTTAGGCCCTCCGCTTTGTTCTGTAAGCTCAAACATGAGAGGAAGTGCATCATGAGAGTGTTTTTAAAACAAAAAACAAGAGACCAATGATGAAACACACATACCCAATAAAAAAAAGGTCACCAATGTGTGTAACTCAACGATTAGTTCCTCTAATGCATGATTGCTACACTTTATAATTGGAATAACAAAAAGGGTTGTGTGAGTTGTTTGATTTTTTTTTTCTATTTGTTGTTGATTTTGATTGATAAAACAATTGAATTTCATATGTTTGTTGATTGAAGTTTTATTGTGAGTTGTTTGATTTTTTCTTTTTGTTGCTGATTTTGATTGATGAAAAATGTAATGTTATAAATTAAATGGTAAATCGTAAAAAAATTATTATAAAAAATGTTGTTTGAGAATAATATACTCATTTTGCAGTCAGTCAGATGTGAAATCAAACTACAAGTTTCAATCAAAAATTAACTCAGTCAAAACTTCTAACTCAGTCGGCCTCTGACTAGTCAACAACTATCAAATGAGCCCTAAGCTATAGATAACACCATCAAAATTCGTTCAAATATCGTAAAAGTGCTAAATGGGTTATCAAATTAATTGGTTACTAAACTTCGGTTGAGGTTCATTATACAAATCATGTAAAAAAACATCATCATCATCTAAAATAATAAAACCAAATTTTCATTGTAAATCTCGGAACAAAAAATCAATAAACAAATAACAAGTTCCATAACTTTTGCAATATAAAATGAAAACTAAAATCAAGTCAACCTACGAAAAATATATAAACACAACTGATACATGACACTTTTAACAAAGAAGTTCACTCCTCCTTATGGTTTTTGTCACCATTGGATAAGTTTTCATTTATGAAAGAATCACCATCATTTAAACGTGATTTACAAAACGAAAGTGAATGCAAGAAGTTGAAGTAGGCGTATTTTATATCAAACTGCATATCATACCCTGCCAAAAGAAAAGAAATATTTCATGATTAAATTAAATTATTACGCAATAAAATAATGATAATTTTGGAGAGTTTGTGAAGTAAATTACAATAATTTACTGCAATGGTGAGTCCTCGATTATCAGGTGTCTGTCTAACATGATGAAACCACATACTTGGCCTACATAACAACCAAATTCAAGAATCACAAATATTCAAAAATGGTCTAAATGCAAGAAACGAAAGTTGTTTTTGTATTTGGATAATATTACTATAAGTTTTCCAAAGCACAATGCTATAATGGAAAGAAACGAAAGTAGGAAGCTATAATAAATATATCAATGGAGGAATGCTTTAAGAGTTTCTTGTTAGTTAAAATTTTTAATTTGACCCCTTGGGAATATCATATAAACCAAATCAACCCAATTAATCTCCACCCAATAAAAAAGCAACATTTCTATTTTGGGTTGTCTTAAAAAAAGTACCCAGTGTCTTCTTTCCTTTTTGGAAAGATCCGTTTGTAAATTTGCAAACGGATTTTTCCGAAAAGGAAAGAAGACAGTTGCAGTTTTTTCAAGACAACCCAAAATAGAAAGAAGATAAGAAATGAATTCAATTGATTTGTATCAAGATTTAAACTTTACACAGGCACATACATGTGGGATTATTTTTATTTTTTTTTAAAAGATAAGAAATGCTTACAAGTAAAGTATTTCACCAGCCTTAAGAGTGACTTCAAATGGTTTGGGTCCATTATAGTAAAATGGAAATTTAGACATTTCTTTTTCCTTGTCTTTGGGCAATGGGTAAGGATTTACACTACACCAAGGGACATATCTCTCTGGATTCTCCAATTTCAATTCAAATTCCCCGCTTACCTGTTAATACATCAACAAAACAACCAAAATGACTAAACTACCCATACAGAACAAATAATACATCCATGTAGTGATAGGACACGACATAACATATTGTCCTGTGTTTGGCATCCATTATTGTGAAATTTAAGGGCAATATCACTAAAAAGTAACTAACTTTCACTACAAAACAACATTAAGATTACTGATATTACTACAATACACCTATTCTAGTCCACATCATCAAAAAAATTTAGCCATGTCTTCAAGTGTAACCAATTTTATAAAGTGATTATAGCCATTTCAAGAATCCTAACAGGATAATTGGTTGATATGTTAGAGGTATATACATAATCAATCATGCATAAAAACATCCACGAATCCAAAGAGATAAATGCAAATATAGAAAAGGGTGAAATTGTACCTCAGAGTATGTGTATTGAGCAGCAGGGTATTCACGAATATACATTCTATGAACATCAGTGGGTGGAAGAAGCAGAAAGTGCTTCTCTCCTGTTACAACAGCATACAGATTCTCATAATGATCCTTATGAAACGAAGTTTCAGACAAATCATTCCCTATCCACAAATTAACAGCCTCCGGCAATCCTCCTATTGCTTCAGTCGCCCACGGAATATGTGAATCACAGTCTCTAGCCAATGCACCATATTCCCCCCCTAAAACAATCGTTCTGCTGTTGCGCATACGCAACGAATCCTTTACTTGAATCATTCTTACGTGAAGTTTTGATGGCATCCATGGCGTCGGAGAATGGTGTGCGTTGGACATGGGCGGAGGCAAAGCAGAGAGAGTCAGGATTAGAGGGGTGTGGGGTGAGGGAGTCGGCTTGGCCGGTGGGGGTTAGGTGGAGGGAGACGGTGGAAGAAGAGAGAGTGTTGAGGAGGTAGGATGTTGAGGTCCAGAGAGTGGTGGCGGGCCATTGGAGGGTGGTGGCGGCGGAGGCAGAGAGAATGAAGGGTTTGTTTTGGGAGAGGTAATGGCGGAGGAATTGGAGTGGGGTTGGTGGGGTATGGAGGCGATCGATTTGGGGAGTGGTTCCTAAGCTTAGTTCCCTCACTTCTTCCCAAAGGTTTTCGAGCTTTGAGTTCATTAATGGGGACCCTAGAAGAACTTTTTGTGGTGTTTTGGTGGTGGAAAAGGGGCGTCGACGCCGGAGAACGCACTTCTAGTTCTAGATGATGGTGGATCAAAGACCGGTCCCTGAGACCGGTTCTGGTTAAAGTTAAACGGTTAAACCCATCCCAGGCCCTTCGCCAACCATGTTAGCAAATTGTGAATATTTTTATAGAAAATTACTAATTTAGCCTAATTAACTAATTACTTAGGGGTTTGATACCACTCCAGGGGTTTGATACCACTCCGAGTCAGGCCGTTTCATATCCTCTTGATCTCCGGTCTCTACGCCTCTCCCCTTTCGGTCAAGGTAAATAGTTTGTTTTTCCTTTTTGGAGAGAGGGGTTTTTGAGAAAAAAAAACGTTTTTCAGAAGTACTTAAGCTTATATACTCAATGTTTCACCTTTGTGATCACAATTGTGTGAATCCGTCTAAAATCTTGTAAATTCACATTGTTATAAGTTTAATTAATGTGATTCCTGCTTTTAAGTTTTTTTACCCCTCAATTTTAGGATCATGTAGTTGAATTGACGATGGTGGGACTATTATGATGTGTATGTTCTTCATGAGACAAGAATGTGATTTTCTAATTTCTTATATAGTTTTGTTATATGTTTGGAATCTATATTGCAAGAGATAACATAAAAACCTTAAGCATTTATATTTTAGGATCATCTATTACGTTCTGGGGTGATTGAATAGCTGTGAATATTTCAATTTGTTGATGCTTTGAATTATACTTTAGGATCACATATAATCTTGAAGAAAGGATTGATTGTTGGAGTTGAGTATCCACAGGTCAACATAGGAATGGAAAGTGATTGGTATGCGGTACATAGAGATTCCACACATCTGTTTAACCTTTTGTTTTAAACCAGGCCCTCATGGAGATTACACCTATGGAAAGTAACCCACCGGTACTTTTTGGCAGATTCTTATATGCTTTGAATATAATTGCAGGATAAAGTGTTTGTAACATCATAAAGTCCTTTTGTTAGTGTAATTAGTTTTATTATAATGAAATCATAAGGATCATTGCAAGACTCAAAGGATCATTAGATTATCTTGTTTCCTTTAGGAGCTCTTTATCTTTAATATATGTGTGTGTAATTGTGTATTGTGGAGCTATTTATCTCTAATATGTTTATGTGTAATTGTGTATTGTGGAGCTATTTATCTCTAATATGTTTATGTGTAATTGTGTATTGTAGGGCATAAGAATTGGTTAGTCTTTACAAAGACAAAGACATGGGGACAGGGCATAAGAATTTAATATCATAAAGTCCCAATACAACTTTTTCCTTTTCACCCAAAATCACTAGTATTATTTATGGACAATTTTCACCTTCATGAACATGTAATTAGTCATAAATCTTGGTACATGAACACATATGTTAATTGGAATAGTTATTTTGTCATGATTGTCTTGGTATAAAGTTGAACATATTAAAACCATGACCAAAATTCCGTTCTATAGAGTAATAAACTTTTTTATAATATCAGCTCAAAGATTCAAGATTAGATCTGTGTTTCTATAAAGAAATGTTTTTTATATCAAGACAATAACCTTGACATCATTGAATGTTTTAGTAAAAAATGTAATGTTATAAATTAATGGTAAATCATAAAAGAATTTTTATATGAAATGTTGTCTGAGGGTAATATAGTTATTTTGCACTATCAGTCAGATGTAAAATCAAACAATGAGTTTCAGTCAGAAGTTAATTCAGTCAGAACTTCCAACTCAATCAGTTTCTAATCCAGTCAGTTCTAACCCAATTAGCAACTATCAAATGACTCATTAATCATTTTTAGCCAAAAATTAGCAATTGTCCAAAAATAGCCCACGAAACTGTAGGTAATTAGAATGAGCTACTGTTTCGCCAAATGGCCTACTATTTCGGGTTAAATATAAAAAAAATCATTCGGAACATCTAAAACCGTAGGTTATTTTATAACCTACGGTTTCATCTCGACGAAGTACAGTTTCCCAAACCATAACCTACGGTTCTGGTAAAAAGTCTACGGTTTTATATTTTTTTTTAAATAAATGGAGAGTAGTTTTTTTCAAATAAATACATTTGACAATTGGACTACTCTTTGACATTATTTCAAACACTATTTCTGTGTAAGGTATTTGACAACTAGATTACTCTTTGACATTATTTGACTACGGTTTCATAGACTTTGACTACTACTTTGTAGCCTACATAATGTATTGTCATTTCGAACAATAGATTTGTCATTTCAAACAGTATTTATGGGAATCCACATAATTGTCAAAAAACTACTCTCCATTTATATATATATATATATATATATAATATATATATATATATAATTGTAGACTTTTTGCCTAGAATCGTAGGTTACGGTTTGGGAAACCGTACTTCGTTGAGAGGAAACCGTAGGTTATAAAATAACCTACGGTTTTAGATAATCCCAATGAAAAAAAATCTATACTTAACCCGAAACAATAGATCATTTGGCGAAACAGTAGCCCACTCTAATTATCTACGGTTGCGTGGGCTATTTTTGGACAATTGCTAATTTTTGGCTATAAATTGTTAAGTAATTAGTTAATTGGGCTAGATTAGTAATTTCTCATATTTTTAACATAATTCTTTCAAAATAGGCATCAATATGAATTTATTGTTTATGATACATGTATTAATATCAGTCACATTAACAATTATTTTTGGAATAAATACTATTATTATTCAATGAAATTATAATTCATAAAACTACAAAAACAAATTAAATATTCAAATAAAGTTAATAAAATTACGTAGATAGTTATGCCATCTCACTTGGTAAATGTTTTGTAGTTTGCAAGCCTTCGGGACCATGCTTCTTCACTGGACGGTTCGGATGGACTTCGTCGTTCTTTCCCAACTAAATTTTTTTTGAACCGACAAATACAAATATATAATTTACTCATAATCTAACAACTAATATCACTTATGTCCACAACATGATTTGAACCATCAACCTCAAAGATGGAGGGCACCACCTGGTACCGCTAGGCTAGAAGCCCTTTGGTAATAGAAACAGAGTTAGGTAATGTTTGACATATACTAATTGAAGAAGAAATTAAATGAAACGTTATGAAAAAAAAAGTTAAAAAAAAGACCTTATTTCGTAGTTACAAATAAGTAGAATGGAGCATTCCTCATGATTCATTCTATTTGGTTGATTTTCATTCAACATCGGAGAATGTATTTTCTTTTTTTTTTCATTTATTGTGGAAATGGAATGTAATTATAAATTAATTTTATTCATATAATTATCAATAAATATTTAATATTTTAAAATTGTCATATTTTCAATTAAATATTTTTTTTAAAAATAAATACATAAAATTATATTTTTTAAAATTATATTTTAATATATAATGTTATCTGGTTTTACTGTAACATTTTTAAGATTATAATCTATATTTAACTATTTGTAAAACATATTATGTATATTTTGAACAAAATGAAATATGCTTATATGTTATTAACGATTTATCTTTGCTTAATTCAAAATTATATTTATTAAATGTTATTTTTTTCTTTATTTATGAATATTATTTTATTCATCTTTTTATTTATTGATAACAAACAATATGCTTGAATGACTTATTTAATTATATCGAGTCAACTAATCATGATGATGAAATGTAATTATATTTTTGGGATGATTTTCATTCCATTGATGAGAACTATTTTTTTATTATTACTTTGAGACATAGAAGGATATATTATAATTATAATTACTTTTATTTATATAAACATCAATAATAATCTTTTTAAAATTAAAACTCAATTTTTTTATTTTGAAAAATGTCTAAGTTTTTTTTATTAAGTTTTTTTTAAAGATGTCATGATATTTAATTTTTATTTGTTTTTAAACTGTATGAAATCCATATAAAATGTTAAACAAAATAAAATATGCTTATATTCAAATTATTTAACTATATAACTACTTAGTTAAATATTATTATTTATATAACAACATATTTTATTGTCTGCTTATTAATTTAATTTTATTTGGTTTTTCTATTTATTGCACTCACTTATATATCATATTATCATACAATTCTTTTGAGTCAATCAAACTGATAATGGAATACAATAATTAATTTCATTACCTCGTTCATTCCATCACGTTGTTCATTACATTCATGATCCCATTACATTATACCAAACAAGCCTTTAGTTTTAGTTTTTGGCAACGAGTATGTTTGCATTGAAGTTATTATTCATTATTAATGTATTGTGTATATTCTTTTTTGTTAATTGACCTAACTTTGTATTCCATTGTAACCTATGTTTCTTTAATGGATATCAAGTTTTTTTTTTGGCTTATTTCTTTCTTGATTAATTGATTGTTGAAACTATAACCCAATACATATCATAACATTCATCACTTAGAATAACCTTAGAGTGTTCTCAAACAAGCATTGTTAGTCGATAATAACTTAAAAAAAGGTATGTTCAGTATATTAACTGCCAGCAGACAAAAAATAACATTTGGTCGAACCCTAGTCCCTAGCTGATAAGGTACCATGAAAGTAAAATGATATAAAAAGACATGTAGAAGAATGAATTTCTTTATAATTAATAAAATGTATATTTGGAAGAATTTTAAAAAAGCTTTAAAAAACTAGTTTACATTATAATGTGCCAAAGAGAGCCTAAATTGAATACGAATACTTCCTAACGTTTTTAGTAATATGGAAGTAAAATTGACGATACTAATGAAAATATTCAATGCCAAGTTTCTATAATGAAATACAAGATCAAAAAACCAACATAAAAAAAATATTTTACAAGAACAGAATTACCAAAGACACGAGATTAGGGAAAAAGGTCACAAGCATGAGATTAAGAACACATTTTGTTTGACATTTTGAATATAATCAAGCACTGTTTGGGGATTCTCTATGAATGTAGCAAAATACCAAATCTAATAGTATAAAATAACTATCAAAATGATACAACACCTCTTTTTCAAAAAAGCCATATTCTAAGTTGCTAAAAGCATCATTTATACCAACCAGTAAGGATCCACCTCAGAAAAAAACAGAAGCAACAACCCACACCCTGTCAAAACCAAATCCAATTTACTTAATCATTTTAGGATTTATTCATTTATTTATGCAACAATGTTTCATAAATAAATAGAATTTACCTGGAGAATAAGTAGGAGGATGCATAGCGACTTTTCAGATCTCCTGCCAAATATTCTCAATGACACATTCACAAGTGTCCCATCTTTTGTCCCAGTCAGCAATCCTGTCCCAGGGTCAAATCTGGTAATAATGAAATATAAGTACATATCAAACTCAAAAACACTAGATCAATATAAAAATATTAATTAAATAAATAAAAACCCCTAGCTTTACCTTGGCAGACGATGACGTGGACATGGGATAATGCCTGCCAGCTGTCAATAAGGGAGCATCCTTATTACTAACTCTTAACATTATTCTGCAATAAAAACTTAAAAAAAAAAAAATAGAGAGAAAGAGATCGAACCTGAGGAAGTGATAACAGAAAGTTTATAATTTGAGGAAGGAAGAATATTAGGAGTGTTTCACTGTCAAAGAAAATGCAGAAACACATGTTATTTATTTAAGAAAAAATTGTCACAAAAAAGTACAAAATAATCAGATATCGCTACTTTGGTAAGAAATAGCAACATATTTCTTCTTATTACAACATCAAACTTTACAATTCAGGTAGTTTTTTTATAAAGTATGATGTTTCAATAAGAAAGAAAATTTGAAAAATACCATATTACAATTGGGTAGATATTTCAAAGTACAATGCCTTTATTAAAAAGACCGAAAAGTAAATGAAAGTACATTGCTATTTCTTAAATATATTTTTAGAATATTGCACACCTATAGTGGCCTAAAATGCCAACAACTGCCATTGTCATTCCAGCAAAGTATGTATAGGTGTCACCAACGAAAACAGAAGATGGATACCTAAAATAAATGAAGGGTGAGAAGTAGAATAATTAAACTAAAGTAATCAAATTAACAAAATTAACAAAAATAAATACCAGTTGTAAGAAAGTAATGCCAGTGAAGTTGCAAGCAGAGGTTGAACAAGGTATATGGAGAATGCATGGGCCTGTTTTGTTTCAGGATTGGAAGATGCTCCGATTTGCATAATATTGTGGATTAAAATCTGCATTACATGATTATAAATCAGATTTATTATATTATTTATCTATGTCTTGTGTTTTCTTTAAGATCTGAAGGCTTACAGCAAATGCTATAACAACAGTCTGTCCAACTTCAAGGCCATTTAGACCAGCATGGATGTTGATTGAGTTTGTACAAAAGACAGCCAAAAGTCCCATATATAGCTTATAGATCCATCCTGTTCAGTATCCAAGTTTAAAAAATAAATAAATAAATAGGAACAAACAAATTCAAATTATCAAATATCACAACCAGTGAAAGGTCTTAATCAGACTGCAGGATATGACAGAACAGGTTGTACTATGTTTGCCGTGCATTGGACTAATGTTGATGGGACAAAATTGCAACTTTTTGGCCCACACAAAAAGGTGGGACATGGAGTTGCTCTCGATCTTTCGTTTGTGCAAAAGACATAAATACCCTCCTCGCCCTCGTCATCAAAAATAGACCAAAAAAGCTTGTCTAGTCCTGTTCGGTGGAACAAACGCAACTTAATGTTGCGTTTATTACACATGAAAAGACAGGACTAGACAAGCTTTCTAAGGTTGTTATCGATGATGACGATGAGGAGGGTATTTATGTCTTTTGCACATACGAGAAATCGAGAGCATGTTCATGTCCTACCTTTTTAGGTGGGCCAAAAAGTTGCAATTTTGTCCCATCAACATCAGTTTGATACACGCCAAACGTAGTACAACCTGTTAAATAAGGGAATTATTTAAATGTTTACCTAGATCCAAGATTTCTGTTCCAATTATATTGGACAAGTGGTTTTGGTATCATGATGGTTGTATGTCCAGCATAGGCCATCAACAAAGGGAGAGCAGCAATTGATGGTAATAGTAGTTTCCTGCCTTCACAAGCAAATTTAAACCAATTAGAGATGTAATAAATAAACAAGAAATGAGATCTACCAAGTAGAAAACTCACACTCTCCAAGGAATATCAAGAACATCATCCACAAACCCAAGCAAAATCATGAAGCAGATAGATGCTAAAGCTGCATTATACTCAACAAGCCACTGCAAGTGTATGGATTAACCAATTAATTATAAAATAAACAAATTATGGACTAGAATAAAGAAAAGTGTCACATTGTGAAGAATCAAACATACATTTGAATCTGATGTGAAATTGAAATACTGAAATAATATCGCCACCACCAAGAAAACGGTGCCCACAACAATACCAAGGGATTCAGGCCTGCAAGAAAGGTAGTAGTATCAACACGGAAGTTGACCAGAATAATTTATTTAGACTAGGAGTGCACTGAATTCCAACTCGCACTAATGCAATTGAATTATAAAGGATTCTTCTGGCATACTAAATTGCTCAATGGTTCATCAAATTACACAAATTTGATCGATAGACGAGAAAGTGGATATACGAGAAAGAACTTACACTTTGACCAGACCTTGAGGCGTACCCTTCTTGTTAATGTCGTAACCAAATAAATTACGTTTAAGAACATATCTGGAAGCCACTGGGATCATCATTAGGGTTATAAAGAACCCGGCGAAGCTGAGTGATGCATTGATAAGGATCGATTTCTTCAGCTCTGTTTCGATTCTATAGTGATAAAATATCAGGTAAAGGTAAGGTAGGAAGAAAATCGAAGAGAAGAAGATGATTTTGCTTGGTTTTGAAGGGGTGATCTGTGGGTCTGTAGAAGTAGCGGTGGATTCCGAGGTTTTGGGATGTGATTCGGTGGGTGGCGGTGGTTGTTTTGAAGCTCCTCTCTTGCGAGCTGCCATTGCTGATGCTCTCTGCCCTTCTTTCGCCGTCTTCGAGTTGACGGTTGCGATTTGTAAAAGGAATCCGCGATCTCTACTTTCCTTCATCGTCGTCATCGGGGTTGTAAGATCCAATAATATACTTACACGTAGGATCCAATCACGTACTTACACGTCAGAATAAATGTGTCCCCTGTGGGTCATACAACTGCAATTCATGTTTTTGTCCTAGTTTTACACTTTTGCGTTTACTTGAAGAAAAATAACAAGTTGTTTTTTAAGCAAATTTTATAAAAATTATTAAGTTTTCATAGAAATTTAGTTTGATATTTTCTTTTTATTGTAAATTGAATATTTTGTTTATCAATTTATTATAATTCTGATCATCTAATCGATCAATCAAATTATTGTTAGCTGACGTAACATGCTCACATTACATGATAATGTATCACTATTGTGTGATATTATATTCTGATAGCTAAAAAACATATCAATAAAACATTTGTACATAACATATGCGAGCTAACCCTATGGGGTGTTTGGCTTATCTTTTTGAGAGGCAAAAGTCCTTTTTGGAAAAGATAAAATGTAAAAGATGTTTGGTAAAAGGATATACCAATTTACCTGGGGTTGTTTAATCGGTTTTAAGTGGTGCATATACCAATTTACTTGAACGTGAACCGGTCCAGGACACTCCTAAAATCTCGCATATGGGTTCGGTTTCAGTCCCACAAAGTGCCCCCAAAAAAACCGGCATCAATCGGTTCTGTGTCGGTGTCGATCCATGACCACGCTCATCACCACTGTATATCTCAATGCATTGGCTTATACATTTGTTATCTTAATTTTTTTTTAAATCACTATATTTTGGAAAAATCCAAAAGATCACTAAATTTAAAAAAAAAAATTTCAATTTTGACACCAAAAATAAGATATCACCATATAATGTCACGTCATAAAAAGTGTTACGTCATTATGTCACGTCAAAATGCAACCAGGTGGATTGACCGGCTAAGTGGTCACAATTGTAACAAATTTGTAAAGAGGGTGTACAATTTAAGACAAAAAACACAATGTCAAAATCGAATTTATGTAAAAACTTAATGACTTTTGTAGAATTTTTTATTTTATTAAGCTTGGTATAGCATGTTAATTATATTTTTGGTTTTTATATAAACTTTTAAAATTATAAAATATTCTTTTTACATAAAATTCAAGGGTCTTTTGTTGTATAAAATTTAAAATTTTACAAAATTAAAACTTATACAATATAAATTGAAAAAATCAAAAACAAACCTTAAAGGTAGAGGGAGCCGTTAGCGGATGAAGGTAGTGGGTTTGTGGTATCGCGGTGACACAATTTCGAGGAGCAGACACGACTAGATAGAGGCACACAAGTGGGCTGTTAAACCCACAAGGTTATCTCTTTCTCTTTACTCATTCCGTCTATCCTCTCTCTTGCTTTAGTTGTACTTCTTGCTTAAGGACTTGTATGAAAATAATTTTGTATGTTTTTTAATTGAACATGTTGAATGGTTTGAGAAATATGAGTTTTCATATCTTGTTGGTTAGGAAAGATGAAAGAAATGTGGGAAGGGGAAAGGGGGAGAGAGAGAAAAAAAAAAGCTTATGTGAAGCTAATGTGACGAATGAATTGAATGAGTTGGGAGACTCCCTCCGCAATCCATCCTAATCACCAACTAACATCTAGTAATATACTTCCACCTATCACTTAATTTTCATTTATGGCCATTACACTTCGGTTTTAAAAAGTTTTTATTTTTTATTTTTTTTACATTATTTTATTAATATTAATCTTCAACTAGGAATCTACTTTCATCTATCACTTAGCTTTCTTCATTTATGGCCAACTACACTTTGATTTTAAAAAAATTTATTTTAAATTTTCATTTTACTATTAAAGTTTATATTTATGTTCTTTTGCCACAAAATAAATTTTGTTAGTAATCACAATGATAATAACAAATTTTGTTACTTAGATGGTTGTTTATGAGTTTTTATATGATGGTTGATTTTTAAAATACTTAGGATGCGTTCTATCAATTTAAATTATCAAAAAAAAAAAAAAAAAAAAAAAAAAAAAAAAAAACCGTTGATTCCAAAGATTCCATTTTATATCCTCTTATAAAGTGTGTATTGAAATTTATATCGCTAAAGGGAGTAGCCCCCGGCAAGCTTGAGCATTGTTGAATATGTAATACCAAAACTAATAAATGGTCACGACGTGAAGGAGGAAGCCTCACGACGTGACCATTGATACAGAACCGCGTATCCATCTTTGCGGGTCACAACGTGACGTATAGGTGGTCACAACGTGCCGACGGGTTAACCTTAATTTCGTGTTTTGCGCTCTATTTAAGGGAAGTGAGGAGTTAGGGTTTGCACATCTTCAACCTCTATCACCTCCCTCCTACCCATGCAACGACCCAATTTTTCAAGTCCAAAAATTTCTTTTTAATTAACTGACTCATAAAAACATTCATAAGAAAATACTGTGAAACACATCATCTCATAAAACAAAGCATCATGTCTGAAAACCCAAGTCATAAAATAATACATATCAGAGTACAATCCCAGAAAACTCCATGCGGAAATCATGTGTGTGTGTGTGTGTGCGATGCGATGCTACGCCGCCGGCTACTTCCCCTTAGACGAAGAGGTACCTGAAACCAAAACCGAAACCGTAAGCACAAAGCTTAGTGAGTTCCCCCATCATACCACATACCATACAATATCCTCGGTATCTTTCAACCGGTAATCATCGTCGGTATCTTTCAACCGGTAATCATCATCGGTATCTTTCAACCGGTAATCATCATCGGTATCTTTCAACCGGTAATCATCATCAGTATCTTTCAACCGGTAACTGTCATCGGTATCTTTCAACCGGTAACTGGGGACTATTCCACCCCCTACCACTAGCATACAACAACAAGATATAAACATACAGTCAAGCATATCCGGGTACTGACCTACCCTTTGGTCCTAAGGACCGCTATCAGGGAAACCAATCCCTATCATACACGTAACATATCATACAAATAAAACTCATGACCAAAGCATGTAACCAGACCAAGATAATTATCACAAAGACAATCATCTTCTAAATACTCCTCTTTGGTGGGCCGGCATTATGGCCTTAGACCCACCCCTACTGGAAGGTAACTCACCTCGTACGAGAAGCTGCTGATAATCTGTGCGGGAAACCTCCGTCCGCTGCTGCTCCGGAAATCCTCCGGCTACAACCCCCACAAAACACTCAGTTAGAAACTGATATCTACTTGGTTGGGGGTAAAATGACCATTTTACCCCCAACCAAGTCCAAGTCAAAGTCAACTTCCAGTTGACCCGACTCGCCGAGTTGGGCCGTCAACTCGTCGAGTCCTTTCCCTTTACTCGTCCTTATCCACGACTCGACTCGTCGAGTTTGGCAACGACTCGACGAGTTCCCCTTCTTTACGAACATTAATGAACCTTCATCCGACTCGTCGAGTCGTATGAACAACTCGTCGAGTTCGCCTTCAACTGATGAACAAGTCCTGACCTTGACTCGCCGAGTTGTATGAACAACTCGTCGAGTTCATCTTCAAACATAAGGAGTTTGCCTTGGACTCGCCGAGTCTGATCTAGCACTCGTCGAGTCCCATGAACTCCAGGTCTAACATTAAGTCCAATGCGTTGGGTCACTCTTTTCTGTCCTGCTACAACCCTTCTAACACCCATCTGAGTTCTTTTGACCCTCAACAGATATGGGACTTAAAGCCTTGGACTCGTCGAGTCCCAAGAACGGACTCGCCGAGTCGATAACATCCACACCCTAAATCCTCGATTTCTGATGTACAACACTTGACCAAATGATAGATCCAAGCCCCTAAGCTCGATCTAGCACGTAAAGTTACGAACTTTACGTGCATGCATGGGACTTTTGAGCCAAAAAGGCTCTAAAATGGCTCTAGTGTTGCATGGGGCCTTCCTTGGGTGCAAAAGCAACCCAAATCTGCCTTGTGACCCCTTTAAAGACCTGATTCCAAAGCCTCAACCCCCAACCATGTTTGCAATCATGGTTGGTTACCAAAAATGGCTTATAAAAGCCCTAAATCTCCCCAAAAAGGGATCTATCAAATGAAAGAGCAAGGTACAGACTTTATACCTCTCAAAGACTGCAAATGATGAACCAAACTCGAATCCTTCAGTTTCCTCTTGATCCTTCTATGCCCTTCCTTCTTCCTTGTGAACAAAACCACCAAAATCACCACAAATGCCTTAAGATCTTCACACACTCGGCTAAGGTTTGCTGTGGAGGGTTTCTGGGAGCATAAAGGGGCGATGGAGGCTGTATAAGGTTGTTTAAATAGGGTGCAAACCCTCAGATTAGGGTTTTGTCCAGACAGAACCTACTCGTCGAGTCCGGGACTCGACTCGACGAGTCCATCACTTAAATCCCGCGTCTCATCCCGCTTCTACTCGGCGAGTTGGGCCTTCAACTCGCCGAGTCCCAGGCCAAAAATGCAAAATCACTTAAATAAAATACATACCAGGAACCCAGGTGCTACACCCAAAATCGAAGTTAGCCTCCATTGTGACCTTGAAGAGCTCTTGTGGTGGTTTATAGCTCTTTCTTGAAAAAGAAGGCTCCTATGGTGCATTATCTTGGCAAGCAAGTCTCTTCCTCGCCACTTTGTATTGTTTATGGACCTTTGTAAGTCCTAAAGCTCTTGCATTTTCTCAGTTAAGCATGTTATATCTACGTTTTAGTCACTTTTCTTCATGATTGGGTTGGGTAGCATGTATGGGATCCATAAAGTTAGCAACTTTATGGATCATTAAGGCCCTTTAATTAGCATAAGTCTTAGTTCTGAGGATTGGTAGTGGTTTGGACTCCAAACATGAGTTTTGGCCTCATTTTCTCTTTATTGGCATAGTTAGTATTCAAGTCATGCATTGGACATGCATGACTAAAAAGTTATGATTTTTATGGCCCTTTGGGTTGGGGAAAACCTTCTAGAAGGTTTGAAGGTTTAGCTTAAGGATTAAGAGCTTAATGTTCTAAGTTGTTCAAATCAGGTCTCACGACGTGACGGGTGTGTGTCACGTCG